GAGTTGTGTATTATTCTACGACAGTCTAGACTTTTGTTTTGTAATGCGTCAGACAAACGTAATATGCATACCAATCGCCGTTGACTGTCACAATGGTATTTACAAGATTAGTCTGTCCACATATTTTTGTATTAAGTATATAACAGGTGACTGTCTTCAATGCCATCTTAAGAGTGTACCTAAGGGTATATTGTCTTCTGGTAACCACAACCATTTATTACATGGCTTCATATGATCAGCTGACAAATACAAGTGGACACAGAACAAAGGAAACAATAGATTACCTCACTTACTATTGTTTCCAACCCAAAGCCGTGAACTACTTAACATAACAATATACTCTCATTAGGCTAAACAATAGACCTTAAAAGTCTATGACATCATCCGTTGTCTTGAATAATTTTGCATGTAATTATAGTCACTGCAATGGGAAAGACAGGAAATCTCTACTTGACCAGATTTTATTGACTATTTCTGGCAATGTCTGTTTTTTAATAAACATGTCGCACGTGAAAAACAGGAGATATTTTAGATTAGTTTTATGTTTACCGATCTTCAACTTTTTAGAATAAATGATAGCTACCGTTGTCGAATCAATCAAGAGGCTCGAATCCGGAAAGGCTTGGCTATTTTAAACTTCGTAAATAGCATTCTTTTCAAGCGGCGACTTCATTCAAGTTTAATGAGCGTAAGTGAAATGTATGGAAGAGTCACGATACTTGTACCTACGAAAGTTACGACTTTTATTCTTGAAATTGGTCATAAATACATGCACAAAATACAAGCATATACCATTTTTTCCAATGGCACAAAAACCATACTTATTGTTTGAAATACTAGTAACTGATACCTACACCACAGTCCCTCTATCACCAGAGGGACTGTGCCTACACATATAACGATAGGTGCGAATTTCAAATATTGAAACCCTTGGCCGAAACGTCCGTCCACCGGAACGCCCAAACCCAATTTTCTGACATTTTAAATATAATTACTCAGTAAATTAACAAAGAAGGTATACATGTTCGATTTATAGTTATAAATCGATGCCAAAGCAAATTCAGAAAATGCAGATAACAGGAAGTGGACACGGTGTCTCGACGTCAGTTATTTGTTTCGCTTTCACACATTATTATTTAGGCCGCAGTTTGGTTACGTCAGAAGTGTCCAACACGCCGGACCTCAGCGTGTTGTTTCTCTGTGTTTTACGTTATGTACGTAGCACATTTCGACGAAAAGGTAGTCTGCATTATCGGAATAGTGTCTTAAATCTCAGACTAGTAATACAACAGACTCGCAACGCGGCGTTTTCTTTTGAAGTAATGCGTGCCACGTTTGTTTAGGTTATCAGTTCTTAGCGTACCGAGTAAACGTTGCTGAGCAACGAGATTTTCATTATATTTCACAAAATAACGCGAGATCTATTCATATTACAATCAACTATCGCGAGACATAAAGACAGGAAGTGGCATCAGGGGCGTCGATCCATTCTGAAAAGTGAGGGGGACACTTTTGTGTCCGCGTAAGCGGCCAATGTTCGCGCTTGCGCGAACAGGGGGGTGTCTGAGAAGGGGGGAATGCCCTATGTTCCGACATCTCTATGTTCTGACACCACTATGTTCCGACACCACTATGTTCCGACACACAGTATACTATACTTGTGTCAAACTTAATCTGACTAGCCGTACGTAACCTTTTACTACCTTGATATAACCAGGATGTCCTGTGGGTTAATACTGGAAATCCAACTGTAGTGTAGTCCGGCCATGATGCTCGAAAGCCGGTGAAGGCGGGATCTTGCATACTGTTATCGGATAATTATCAGAGAATTATCAAACAATGTTGCCCATTGTATCATTCTAATACTTCGACAATTGTTTGACGATATCCGTGTCTGTTGGATGTAGTTCCAACCTTAAATCCTCCGATTGCCTAACTATCGAAGTTTTAGATCGATAATTATCGGAGAATTATTTTACCTTTTTTATGAAAGTTGTACTTCGATATTCATCAGTCGCGGAATTGCAAGGTTGCCGTCAGAAGTGTCCAACACGTCGGACCTCAGCGTGTTGTTTCTCGGTGTTTTCCTTTATGTACGTAGCACATTTCGACGAAAAGGTAGTCTGCATTATCGGAATAGTGTCTTAAATTGAAGTCTCTGCTTTATGTTTCTACAATGCTGGAATAACCATTGAGAAATTAATTTTCCTTTAATATATACCAACCATTGGTTTTGTTTCCTCGGCAGGCTAATTGACATCTCTCACAGCCATCCTGGTTGCAATTGTAAAAACAAATTTCACGAACCTAATTTAGTCAATGCATAGAGGTATCTGTTTATACCTCCATGGTCAATGATAGTTGCGGTTACGCAATCTAGCGCTTGATCATGCTGTAGTTAGGCCGCCCATGGAGGCTCTTTTTACCTCCATGGGCCACCTAACCTTGGGATTAAAATACAATGGTTGTCGCACCGCGTCGTGTTTGATATGGACTCATAGCGACGTATACAACACGTTGTTTACTTACATAAAATTCAAACACACACTGAGCAAAGACCACCGCCCTTTCATCAAAGGAATCTTCTAAGCTATGATTTA